CATTTTCGCCCTTTCCATTAATCTGCATACTACAAGGCCTATTCGAATGTTGCGTTGTTCTATAAGCTTTGTTCCAATTTCTGCATTGGTGACAACTGTCGCGTTCTGAGTTGAGGCGTAGCTTGGACGGAGGTTACTAACTATTATTTGTCCCTTCAGTCCTTCTTTGTCTGCAAAGTTCTTCACAGCACTTTCGATCTTTTCTTTACTTGTTATGGCGTCAATACCCCTCAGATGGATTATCATGCGGGAATCCTTTGCTCCCAGTGCTCTGACGGCTGCCTCGCCATTTGTACCCCTTAAAATGCCTGCTATACTCTCAGCAGTGCCTTCTGAGCCATCTGTTGTAAGGAGCAGGTCTCCTTTCTTGGTGGTTCTAGCTGCGCGAGTCTTTCCTCCTAGGTCGCTGGTTTGTACCTTCTCCTTTACAATCCTGAGTAAATCCGCGTATGAGCGATCCCCTCGCTCCATAACCACTAGCTCGTTTGATTTTTTAATTGTTATTTTTGATCTTATTTGGACTTGCGTGGTGCCTGTAGGGCGCTTTGCTGGCGATTCTAGATACAGGATGACTTTTAGGTTGCTGGATTTCAAAGCACACTCAACAGTTTTGCGGCAATATGACTGGGGCCATTGTTTCTGGACTATGACGTGTAGTTTTGACTAGCTCCTTCGTTCTGCTTCTCTCGCTAGCTTCTTTGTTGCCAGATACAGCTCATAGAGGCCATCTTCATCTTCTTTGCGATCGTCGGTCCCCACCAAGGGGTCGGTAGTTGCCCAAATACCATTTGTCATAAGAACAACAATCCATTTTGGAGGAAGATTTTTAATTCTGCGTTCTGTGGCATCTGTACCAAATTTTTAATGTAACAATAACACTATCCAGGAGTGGATTTTAAATTTTGTAATAATCAGCTTAACCTGTATCCTGATCTGTTTAAAACTCATGACGATATCTCTCAACATGCTAGGCCCAGCGAAATGGCCAGTCATAAAGGTAGAAAATAAGTACCAAAACATACTATATCTTTCATAGAAAGCGTACAACCGACAGCTGCACCTAAAAATCTCTACATATCTTATATAATAGTTTTCTTCTTTGTAATAATTAGATGAGCAGCACTTGATGTCCTGTCCACCTGAAGGACTGCAAAATCGATATTTTAGGCTTATATGAAAATACACACAAACACTTCATCTTTCAATAGAAAGCGTACGACCACCAGCTGCACCTAAAAAATCTGTACATAACTGTACATAACTTTTTTTATATTAGTTTTCTTCTTTGTAACAATTAGATAAGCAGCCCTTGATGTCCTGTCAACCTGAAGAACTACAAAATCGACATTTTAGGCTTATATGAAAGAGTCTAAGGCGTGGACAAAACCGATAAGATATTGTTATTGGTGGGAAGACCTTCCTTCTTGAGACCTACTTTCTTTTTATTGTGTCCCTTGTTACTTTCCCATAGTGACTAAATGAGATCTGTGCAGAATGAATTTGATTCCAACGCCTGCTGCCGAAGACACACCCCATACATTGACAAATAAATCATCGTTTGAGAAGAGCTACAAACGTCACCTTCGGATGTTACACCAGACAAAATGAGAAGTGGCCAGAATCGACTTATAAATCTTCTTCTCTTCAAAAAAGTCCTCTGGGTATTTCTCCACTTTCACTGTACTAGCACTATAAGAAAATCTACAAAATAAAATAGTTATTTTTTGTACAACACGTTAATCCCACGGAGACCAACTTAATTAACGCAACGGTGTTTACAAAAAAAATATATTTTACTATGTAGATTTTCTTACAGTGTAAGTCGTAATACAATGAAAATACCAAGAGAACTTTTTTAGAGGTTTAATAGAGAATTTTAATTATGTATTTGCATATTAAAATTCCGTTTAAATTTAAGCATTAAAAATAAATGACCCCTGGCATTATAATACAAACCTAAATAATTTACTAAAAAAAATTTACTAAAAAACAACAAAAGTATACACTATTTATTAATATAATTTTTATATACCAAATATATACTTCCACCAAGATTAAATAAATACGTTAGTGATTAATATAATCAGTACAAAGAACATATTAACCACATGTGCAACATGACTATTAAAATATGATTGCCATATATGATTAAAACATGACTGAAATGGCAAACATAAAAATTAAAAAGGCGTAAATTTTTACAATAAAGTACATTTCTACACAGCCTAAAATATATTGCAATTTAAAAAATGCATAAAACGCAATAATAGTATTTTGTCATATTTTGACAAAATGAAGATTTACTTTTTTCAAAAATAAAAATATTTGCATTCTCCTGGCATAACTTCAAAACCTAAATTTATTTTTATTGTGTATCTATATTTCATGCATTTAAATTGTAATAAATATCCTATTTTGACAAAATAACTGAAGAGCCGGCTCAAAGAACGTTGTAACTTGTAACAAATTTTACGAAATGGATTTTTTCATGGAATACCTTTATAAGTAGACTATTACATCGATCCAGTGAGGTGAAAGGATTATTTTTTAATTTAGTCTCGTAATAACAATATTTTTATCTGGGCGATTTTTGCGATTTCAATGAAAATGAGGGTAGCAACTTTCACGCACTTTTATGCTTCAATTCGCAGTTGGCAACGTGTATGCGTAGATATGTGTACCGCTCGGGTTCTGACGTCCCCCAGACGTCTCATCGGTGAATTTATCAGCTGCATTGCAAAAAAAATATTTGACATGTGTCAGTACATGGATCTCAAATATCGTGAGTTTTATGAAAACTTACTATCAGAATAAAGTTATTTTTAATTTCGCTAATCTTAAAAAGTCTGTAAAACGATTAGTTTTTATTATTATTTTCTTTACAAAAAGTGTTTTTGGTTTCTTCTGGTAAGCTTCATAAGCTTCATATGCTTATTTCTATGTGCTGTTAATAAAAAACAGAAATAAAACTTTAAGTTTAAAGATATTTTTCATTTCTTTTTACATGTTTGTTTTAAATCCGTTAAAAATTAAATCCGTTAAAATGACTACATATAAAAAAGGTGTAATTAAGGTTTCTATACAAGTTTGTTCCACTTTATCATATATGCAACTTGTGAGATACCTGCGTTTTTTGCTTCTCCTGAAAAGTTTGATAATTGTTACTTACAACGTTCTTTGAGTCGACTCTTCAACTGATAGAGACATACAACTTTAAAATAATTATAGTCAATTTATTAAGAGAAACTGGTGCTTTTATAAATACCGTAATGAAATTAGTTATAAATAATCGTGACTATTTATTTGAATTCCCATCCATAATTTAACCTTGCATCAAATTTATTTTAGAAGTATTAATTAAAAATATTGTATATTCAATTACATTCGACACTTATCTATATATAAACGCTTAACAAGCTTTTTTATTTCCTTCAAATATCCCTACTGCATTTAAAAAAAGTTATTTTTTTCAGGATAGTAAACAGACGATGTACGATGCTAGAACCTCCGACATCTGTAGGCAGTTTTATCTCTTCATGTTAAAATAATCCGCGATTCATTTTTTTACATTGTTTAATATTTTTTAAATCGTCAAGATACAATTCCTTCCAAATAATGTAGGCATAACAAATGAGTTTAATTTGAATACACTCTTAATCAATTTTTATCAATTATAAACACGCAGGCGTTAATAGAGATAAGTAGATAATCCTAAATTTGTTTAGTACACAAACAATTATATTTTTAGAAAATGCATTTTAGCCAGATACCTATAGGATGTGAATGGCACTAGATTAATACATTGATACTGTAGGGCATATTTAAAATGAGCATTAGTTTTTAGGCAATAATTCAGATAACAAAATATTATAGTGTGCTCTATCTAAATGTCTGTATTGGATAAGTAATCTCAAGGTTAAAAATCTGTCTAAACGTGGCGCTACTGGAACAGAAAAGTATAAAGAGCAATCAAACTGAATACAGTTATATATATATTTAGTTTCTCTAAATATTATTACGAACGTTCGCATGTGAAATCTTTAGTGCAACATGATTTATATAGTTTATGTACATCTATCCAGCGACAGAAGAGACTATTTGGATAGAACGCACTGAAAAAAATTACAAAAAAATTATCTAGCTTTGAATTTTTGACAATCAGAGGAAACAAGAAGTAGACATGGGATTGGGATTATTGGGATTATTCTGCAGGAACTCCAGTCAATAATGACAAATTAAAATATGAATGGAATTGCAATTTTTACATGTGAACAAAAATAACAGCCATTAAGTAAAAAGCTAGATATTTGTGCATTTATGGTATTTATAAAAGCCATAAAGTTCACATAATTTATAATAAAAAATACTATTAATTAGAAAGTATCACACTAGCGTATCCAATAAATTAATATAAATAGCAACCAGCAACCTACAACTAAAGTTCTACAAGGTTTCTCAAAAAATATAAAAATGCACAGAATGTATTTATTCATAGACTTTATCCAAACTGCAATCATTCAGAGTGATATTTATATTCATTGTTAATTTTTCAATTTAATAATAATTATTATTTTTGAAAATTTTATTTAGTAATAATTTAAATATAAATATACTAAAAAATCGCAAAGTAATATTACTGCAGTATGAATAAAACCTTGAAATATTCTAAAAGAAAAATATGCCTCATTTTCAAGAGTAAATTAAATATATAGTTCTATGTAACCTATATTAGGAAATTTTTTAACAATATACTCTGTTAAACCTCGTTCATAACCTCGAAATTAGTGGTTTCAATTAGCGTAGAAGTTTGTTACTCTAATATTTTTTCTTAAAATTAAAGGTAGTAATTTTCAATTAATTAAAAAAGTTAACAAACTTTTAACTTTTTAAGTTAACAAACTTTTAACTTTTTAACATCCGTGAAAAAAAAATGTGTTTAAAAGTTTACAATATAATATAAAACAACAAAAAGTTTATTGTTTTATAAGCTAATTATTAAGCTTTATGGATACAACTGACTACCACAAGCTATTGCTAGGATATTCTATTAATTTTAATTGTATTTTTTAGACATTTGTGAATGATCACAAACTCATAAGTATAAAATATGACCGATAAAAAAGCCATCAGCGATAGCTATGGAATGAAGATCGCTGTCATTTTATATTACGTAAAATTATATGGCAAATGTCATCGATCGTCATTTCCAAGCCAATTAGACGCCGTTTTTTTTTTGATCATATAGTATAATTATTATAATAACTAATTTGTAGCACTAATTTAGAGGTTATGAATGATATTAAAATGATTAATTTATACACAAAATGCATAAGCATAAAATCAAAAAACAAGATTTTTAAATGTTCAATAGAATATTTTTCTTCCAGTTTGGTAAAATTCGCTAATATAGTCACAAAATATTTATATTATTAGATCATAATATTAATTTACTAACAGTAAATAATATGGTTTACCTTAAGCCATTTTCAGATTTTGCATTTTCAAACAAATGCTCACAATGGAAAATTAAATATCAGTTATAATATTGATATACCAATCACACACAGTATGATCATAATATGTCACTGACCTCTTAAAGCTCTCAATAAAAATTTAAAGTAAGGTCTTACACAACATTACTAATTTAAAACTTTGCAGATATATTATTTGAAGAAGTAGTAGAAGGGTACAATTTAAGCTAATAAAGCAGATAAATAATAGATAAGTTATTTAAAATAATGCAAAATATATTTATACTAAACAAAATTAATAAAAATTTTAGTATATTTAAGATAAACATGTTTAAAGTTTTATAAAACTTTTAAATTAATAAATATAATATAAATAATAAAATCATGATGCATAGGATCGATACTTTAAATTAATATAAATACTTCATCATTTCCTCCCATAAAACTGGAAAAACTTACTGCTGAATTCATTAAAATTGAAATTTAACTAGTAGGTTTGATCATAAATAAGATTGTCCAATAATTTGTTTATTAAATGCATCTCATATAGGCTATATAAAATAAGTAAATTTATATAAATTTGAACTAGCAACATTAAATATTGTTACTGGACAATCTATTTTTGTCACAATAACGTGTCATAATAACCTTATGCAACCCATTGGGTTTAATCATTTAGGTGAATCCTCACCACTCCATTCTTCTAGTTCTTCCTGAAGACGTAACTCTAATTCTCTCATATCATTCGCAATATCTGCTTCATATGCATCATCTCTAGTTCTGGCAGATGAATTCACATTAGTGTATGGACTCATGGCTTGACTTAAAGAATGTACAATTTTATTCTGAAACAAATTATATATAAAATAGTAGAACAGTAGTACCTTCCTGACTTTTATAAAATCACATTTCAAATGTTTAAATCAACTAAATAACATTCCTGCAGCTATCTGGAAGATATCATTCCAAAATAAAGTTTATCAATTTTTTTAGAACTTTAGCCCTAACACAAAATGATACATTGCATTTTTGATACTTTATACATACTTTTGGACCACAATTGAAGTTGAAGTTGTCCAATATCGTAGTTAGTAACTTTAAGACAAAGATATAAAAAAAATTTTATACAGATGTTGAAGTCGCAGGGTCAATTAAATTTTATTTAGCTGGTTGGGAAGTAACGCCTCCACGGACCCGAGTTCCCGTTGTTTCCTGGGTAAATGGTGGCCCGCAGGGGCAGCTAACTGTAGCTAAATATTGAGGGAGTAACGTCTCCACTGACCGGAGTTACCGATGTCGCCTAGGGAAAAATGGTGAACCTTACTAACCAGCACCGAGGCACCGTGGTGAGGTATGCCTCACAACCCCTACATAAACAACAAACCAAAACCACGGCCCTCATTCTCCGTAAGCCCAATTGGACCCAAGGTGGGTGCTCCCTGGGAATCAGCCAAAAGACCAAAGGGTGCTAAAAGAATCTGCACTGCCAAACATTACAACTGCCAAACACTTTCGAACCAGCCCAAGTTAATTGAGCTGGAAAAAGAGGCAGAAAATATCAAGTGTGACATCCTGGGAATCGGCGAAGTAAGACGAAAAGGAGAAAATCGGGAAACATGTTCTACTATAAAGGTACATGTACGGAAAGGATAAGCGGCATAGGATTTCTTATTAAAAAGGAATAGAAAGACAAAGTAGTGAACATCAAGCCTAACACTCAAACTGTCAGAGAAATATTGGTTACAAGTGATACAAACATACGCCTCAACAACTAGTCAATCGGACGAGAAAGTAGAAAAATTCTATAATGATGAAACCAACCAAGCATTGGATAGCAACAAGAAAAGAATTTGTTATAAAGTGCAATGATTGCTGCCATCGAGGGTGATTGCAAGGTTGCTTTTCTTATGTTGCTGCATCGCCGTAGAACCTCCGCCAGCAGAAAAAAACGTGTTACTGGAAAAAGGCGTTGTTATTAGCAAACATAGACAACAAATCACTAAATCATTAAAACCACCGATTTCAATAGAAAAAAAATTCAGTTATGATTCATAGTTCAATGAAAATATTGGGGAAGTCAAAATGATTATTTTTTATTTAAAAAGATATTAGAACGCTTAATACGATACCACTACCTTTTTAAATAATCTAATGTCACTATCTTCCCCTAGGAGATGCAAGACCTTGTCGTTGGTGGGGAAGCTCCTGGTCAGGTGCTAGAGGGGAAACCCCCCTAGCGCTTGACTTGGTCTAACAAGCATCTCACTTATCGTCTTGTCCCTGGTTGTAGTGTCGTGGCCAGGGAATTGCACCAAGACATATAACGATGCCTGATGGGGCTACCCCTGTCCGTCATACCAGGCACCCTCTACTGACTGTGGTCATGTCTCGCGGGTAGAGGATGTGGGGGGGGCTCTTGGCTTAACCGCCTGGACTAAGAGGAGACAACCTCACCAAAAACCTAAATCCTACGATGGCGGGACCAGGTCAAAGGGATGCGTGGCTAGATAGAGGACTAGCCATTACTGGCCTCAACCTTGGGGCATCAGGGGGCACCTTATTGTATTTACCCCTTACTTCTGCATGCGGGGCTCTATAGAAGTGGAACGACTATCCCTAGCGACTCATGGAAACACTATGAGATCTAGTATTAAAAACACCACTGGTGAAGCTGTGGGGAAGCCCCCTAGCGACACTGGGAACATTACAAATGAAAGTTCCAAGGGACCAAATCCAAAGGAAACTACAAGAGGGGCGGCTGACACTTGCTTGGGATCATCCTCCACAAGTGACACACAAGCTACCACCTTCTCCAGCAAGGGTCAGGAGCCTACCTCTAGACTCAATAAGCGACACAAGCTACCATTTCGTCTACTCGGCCTGGGTCAACCAGGCGGGCTAGACGATCCTCTGAGAGTAGGTCTTAGCGGAGCAGAAGCACGGAGTTACCTCCGACTGCTCCACGAAGGACTTGCTCCAGAGGAAGCAAAAGCGAAAACACCTCCGAAAAGGGGAGAGTAAAGAAACCAAGAAACAACCTGGCTCATATCCATGATGGTAAGAGAGGGAGTGAGAACCTCTCAACTCTTCTCCGGCAAGGAGAGAAAACAGCCAGGATGGAAAGCCGTCCAACACCGGGAGGCAAGCAGGGACGTATCACCAGCTTTGCCGCTATTGCTGGACAAGTGAAAATGGCGGTGCTGCCAAAGGATTTCCCAGAGGCTGCTCTGACCACCGACCAGCAAACGTCTCTAGAAGAGGCTATACTGGATGAAGTAGTGTAGTAGTAGGGTAGTGGCGATCGGATCGCAACACAACGATCTACAAAATGTGGGTCAGCTGCGTTTTGCGAGGATACACTTTCAGGTGGGCATGATCCTCATAGATTGTGTATCTCAAGAATCGGCAAATTGGTTGGTGGAAATCGCAGCTAAGCTTAAAAATTGGCAAGGGCCGGAATTGGTTGCAGTGAAGGGAGAAAACATCCCTAAAGAGGCGGCCGGTCACGGTCTTTCTGCCGAGGAGCAAAGGGAAAGGCACCACCTACCTGCAGAGCCTGAAATTAATTCCATTTCATCCTTTCCTGCATTTCGCAGAGCCTTGAGATCATACTTACTGGAGAAAGCCTTTTACGCGGTTAACGATTTTTTTATTAATATCTAGGGTTCTAAATTTAACACACATTCACTAAATTTAAGAAATGATTTTGTTTTCTATCCATTTAAATTTAGTATTGACATTATATACAGTTGTTTATTTACATGTATGTTTATATTTTATTTATATTTAATTAAATAAATTTTTGACAATGTACAATTTCTATAATTGTATAAAGTATTGTTTTAGTTTTGTATGTTTGCTGTTAGTTTTATATGTTTTTCTATTGTTAAGTGAAGTTTTGTATGTTTTTTATATTCTTTTTTTTTAAGCTTTGTCAACAAAATTGTAAAATTTTTTATGACAATAAAGCAATTTCTTTCTTTCTTTCTTTCTTATCCAGGGTCAGAACTTCAATGTAAGGACATCGAGTTGACGAGTCCAAGGAGGCAATAGAAAAAGAGGGACATAATATCCTCTATTATAGATACGGGACGACACCGGTATCAGGTTTAAGGAGCGACCAAGTTAAAGAGGTGGAGAAAATGGAGACAGATCCTCCAGCCTCCACCTCACGGGTTCCTCAGCCGGAGGCAAGCTCCTCGACTGTGAAGGGCGGCACAGAGGGCCAAACTCCAACCGTGGAAGGGTGTGCACCCTCGGAGGAAGAACTGTTGTCAGAGGGGGATGGGAACTACCATGTCCCCTCTACAACAGGGGTATGATGGATCATAGACTGTGTGATGACTCAAGAAAGGGGGGCACAATAGATCTTTAAGGTCGCAGTGATTAACTCATTCTACATTCTACAACGTCACTATATACAATATTTATTTCTCATTTTTCCATTCATATTGAGTCCAAGAAATATTGTACTACATAAATAATACGCCTTAAATTCAAATTGCACTTTCTGTAATCGGCAAAAGCCGTCAAAACCGTTGGGTTGAGCGCGGTCGTCAGCATACAATTCGTAGCTCAGCCGTAACGTAATATAGCGTTTGGTTGTAGGTCATTTGGCAATGATCATTTCATGGAATTAGTAACATATATTCAATAAAAAAACAATTTTATAAATGTAACAGAAAAACATTTAATACACACCAGACAAGCTTCCTTTTGCTTTTCTTGGATACCTTGCTCTATAAGTTGTAACTCTTGTGTAAGCCTTTCACTTTCACTTAAAGTGGTCACTCCTTGAGTGGCTAACTTCAGATCGTTTAATTGTTTTTCAAGATTTCTCAACTGAATTTTTACTCTTTGTGATTCAGCAAATAGTTCCTTTGAAGGATCTTGAAGCCTGGGATGAATTATTAGTTGCGGAGAACCTAATTAGAATAATATAATTTTTAGTTCGACTAAATTAAAAAAATCCAGCAAATAGAGATTCTTAATAATATTCAGTTCTATAAATAGTTAAAAGAAATCACACACTTGTTTCCTTACCGTAAGTCACATAGCCGTCACTAATATTTGCCATTTGTGGGCCAACCATTGTCGGACCACCAGAACCAACTGTATTGGGATGGAAATGACTATTATTATTCACAAACCACGATGTGACAGGGCTCCCGGATGAGACAGGTTTCCTAATCTATAAAATATATAAATAGAAAAACATTATATAGCTTAACTTCCGATTAAATACCAGTGAGGGTTGTAAGTTTCCATCTCTAAATAAAGTTGTTACCTGAAGAGATTGTTCGTTTTCTTTAGGCATCCTGGAAATGGGACCATATTTACTAATAGCTGGCGCATCATAGGGAACATAATCATCATCGGCAGCTAATATTGAATCTGATCTTACAAAAGTAGGACCTGAAGTTATAAAAATTAATAATTAAAACTTAAAACAATTTAAGAATCAAAGTACTGACATTACTAATAATTTAAATGATAAACAACTAGATAACCGATCCATGTATATTTCACATAAGTTCGTCTGTTAGAGAAACGCTAGCGCAATAGCGCAACTCCAAAATTCCGAATATCGATTAGTTTTAGCTTGGCCTTGTGGAACGCGTGATCGAACGGGAGCGCAAACACGATCCTCATTTCTTATTCAACTGTCTTTGTGTTCGCATCGGCTTTTGTGTATTTTGAGCTTCACTCTTCACTTGTGTTTTTATTTCTTTGAAACAAAAATGAGTAGAAAATTGTGTTTTTGTGAAAAAGGTTGTTGGAATAGCTTTCCATAAGTATGTATTATTTTATTTCTATAAAATAATTTTAGAATAGTATATTAATTTAAGAAATTATACTCATTAATGTCATTTTTGATTTAGGTTACTTTACATGAAAAATTACATTTCATATTAAAAATTAAATGTTAAATTGACAAACAAGTACAAGTTTTTATGAATATAAATGTCATAAATATATTAATACTAAAATAATTGTATTACTACAAAATAGCTAATTTGATCAGCTAGAAAAAAATTAAAATTCCGTATTAAAAATTCTAACACGGTACGGCAACGTATTAAATAAACATCATTTTTTATAAGTAAATGTACATAGTTGGTAAAGTTCTGTGTCCTTATATATGCCTCTAGTTTACAGATTTTAAAATTAATAAATAAAGTGATTACAGTAAAATTGCATTTTAATTTTTACTATATATAGTTTTAATTTAAAATCTAACAATTAAATTTATGTACTAAAACCAAGCCATATATCCGTAGTAAAACCGTGGTAAAACTATGTAACAATTTAATTATTTAAAACATTAAGTCATTTAATCTACAATCATATTAAACATTTTTTATCCACGTTTAAAGTGATATTTTATAAGCTAGTAGGATGAAATAACTTTATTCTACTAACGAAATTTATTAACACTATTATTTATAATAATCGTCGGAACGAATTTCAAATTCAAACAGCTGAAAAAAGCGCGAACGAAGTCGTACGAATGAACAGCTTATGCTCTGATTGGTTTGATATATATATATATATATATATATATATATATATATATATATATATATATATATATATATATATATATATATATATATATATATATATATATATATATATATATATATATTTACTTTAAGCTTGAAAATGTTTACTAGCAGACATTGTAGTCGAACATTGTTCTTTTTAGTACCTCTCTTAGTACGAAGTGTACAAGATAGCTTAGCAGCCGAAAAAAAACTCATCGCATCTTTATTAGAATATTTTGAACGGGAAAGCGATAGTAATGGCCCTTTATTTCCCTTAAGTGCTGTTAGGAAGATGAGTTTTGTTGATGTAAATAATAACGGTTTATATATTTATAATTATTAAATTATTTTTGTTTCCTAAAATAATTTGATTAAAAGAAAATATGTAAAAGTGGGCAACGCTGTGCCGGTCAAGCTTAATCACGTGATTAAAAGTTTATTTGATTTGAATTATACACTGTAAACATACGAGAATCTTTTAAAAATCAAATATATTTCATAGATAAGTAATCACACTGTTTCAAAAGAAAATTTCTTTATTAAACACTATACAATTCGCAAAATGAAGTACTTGTTAATATATAAAAAATGGATAACATTTGCCCGTGTTCTCCGCCCAATAATTCTTGGTGTTCGGAATATTTAAATGATTTAAAATTATGCTTCTTCAAATTCACTAAGCAGTGATACGATGTTTTTCGACTATTTCTCCAAGTATTTTGGTACTTACTTGGTCTTCATATTCCACTTGTGATAGAATATTTAATTCATTTTCATTTATTATTTCTCCACTATCCTCATCAATATTAATCTCCTTTTTATACTTACACTCTTTAATAACTGTTCATGTTGGAATTCTTCTCTTACATTTGAAGACCGACTTTTTTCTCTTACAATGATTTCTTTGAAAATTATTTACTGTTGTGATACTTTAAGCTTAAAAATGTTTACTATAGACCTTGAAGTCGAACATTGTTCTTTTAGAACCTCTTTTAGGGCGAAGTGTACAAGATAGCTGAATAGTGGTAAAAAACTCATCGCAACTTTATTAGAATATTTTAAACGGGAAAGCAGTAGTAATGACCCTTTATGTCCCTTAAGTGATGTTAAGAAGGTGAGTTTTGTTGATGTAAATAATAATTGTTTATATATTTATAATTAATTAACTTTTGGTTCCTACAATATTTTGATTAAAAGAAAATATATAAAAGTAGGCAACGCTGTGCCCGTCAAGCTTAATCACGTGACTAAAGGTTTATTTGGTATGAACCTGTACATTATTTTATTTTCGTTAAAATATCTAGCAACAAATCTCCAATAAAACAAGTACTATATAAATATATACAAGGTGAATATTAAGTGCAAATATTTTCAGGGCTGGTAGATCTCAAACATATTTTCTGTTAGAAAACAAATTTTAATTTTTGTAATTCGATAGTTCAAAAATACGTTGCGCCATCGATGTAATAAAGGTTGAAGTATGAATCCCCCAATGACAATGTACAGATATAGTTTAGACGTGGTTGAGATTTTTAGTAATTCTGAATTAAGTTAAGAAAACTTGTTAATCTAAAAAATAAATATTTCACAATAAATTACAAAATCAAAACACTAGATTTTACTTCCATCCATAACATTTTCTCTTTACAATAAATTTTTCAAATAAGTACAAAATATCCGAGTTAAGGTTGACAATAAAAAAAAATTTTTCCAAAAAAAAAATTAAAACCCCCGAATTTTTTCTGTATTTCATTGGGCTTATTTAAATCTACTACCAATGGTTGCCACGATTTCAGGATAATATATTTTTTAAATGAAAATTTAAAAATTTCACCTAAATGTAATTTTTTATGCGCCACCCAAAGGATATTGCAAAGACGCGTTACTATTTGATATATTCTACAACCACAACACAGAACATGGAAAACCAATATCTTCCCATTTTCTTAAGCACTCACGAAACGTAAACATTTACTAACAAAATCTATCTTTGGAAATTCGCCTTGTTATTTATATATATGTATATTGGGGTTCACAGCCATTCGGAATTCTGAAAAAAAGAAAAGGTACGGGGAGGGTAAAAACTACCCTCAATCCTCAATAAATTCTAGTAGAAATATTTTCCAACTCAATCGACAATTGTTTTTTTTTGTAAAATGGCCCTTCTGGTTCTTGTCTTAACAAAAAAGACACCTCGCAGTTTTTGAAAAAAAAGGTTTTCCACAGCTGATATAAAATATTTCTTGTTACATCAAGCTATGTAGGTGCATCAAATCTAGTATGTTAATTATCTAGTTGGCGAAAATATGGAATTTTATGTTAGTATCACAAATGATATTTGACAATAAACTTCATAAATTTTAAATTAATTAATGTTCCGGTTTATTTTTAAAACTCTAACGGACAAACAAAGCACTTTTGTATAGAGGTAAATAGGTATGTCAACAAAATTTAGTTTTCTACTGCAAATTATAAATTTGTGCATATTGAAAGACCGTACAAAGTTTGAAAACAAATACTCATATACTTTTCGAGTTATTCGTAATTCAATTTGGATCATTGCGTCGAGGCGGGAAAACGCTGCCAGGAGAGCTACCGTGAGTGTGACGTCACCTGCTCGCTAATCGCGCGTAGCGCTTTACTAGAGACATAACAGATGGATCCGTTGCGCCGTTTTCTTGTATCCTTGTCTAGATTTAATTAGATTAGTTACATAGTTGTAGTCAAGTTTTATCTGTACTACAAGTTACGCCACTGTATTCACAATTATTTGTACCGATTCTGTTTTACGCTTAGTCATAAACGACCCTTCAATTATTATTAGTCGATGGAAAGTCCTTATGGTAAAATTATATAGCCTTTGTTCAGACACGTTTGTATTTTACGCAGACAAAGGATCTACTAGGTACACTTTTAACACTTAACAACACTTTTTAATTCAATTCAGTTCCAAGATGTCGCTTTTTACTCTACTTTTCAACACGCACTTTACTTTTTACCTCTCTAAGTTCCAAACAATTCAGAGTCGGCAGTTTTATATCAAATTTTACTTTTAAAACTAATTGTTTAAGTTTTCCTTATATATTAAATAAAGTATTTAAGAAGAATAAAGTGTGTGAAAAAACAATCAACATAAGCAAAGCGACAATTTTGATCCTCAACATTGACATTAGAGGTCTACTAGAGCTTGTCGGACGGTAATACTGATACTTGCTGATATGTTAATATTTGATCTGTCTAGTGTGTTTAGCAATTTTTATTAGGTCAGTTGTGAGTGCGTTATTGAGTTTTAAACTTAAAATGGTGGCTAGAAAATGGTGTTTTGTGCCTGAATGCGTAAGCACAACGATTAAGACTCTAAAGAAGTTTAACAACACAACGATTAAGACTCTAAGACTCTAAATTTAAAAAGAAAAAAATGGTTCGCGGCAGTCAGACGAGATATTAAAGACGTTTCTTCAGCATCGACTATTTACTGTTGCGAGGACCATTTTAATGTAAGTTTGTGTAGACTTGTGTTGCGGCATAAAATAGTATATTGTTTTATTAGGAGTAAAAATGATACTTTTTGCGGCGAGGCTGTAGTTTTAGCTTTAACACCACTGGATTCATTCAACTTGGTTAAATCAGTATTCATCGCGAGAAAGTCGAATACCATATTGACATCTACTTGCGGTAAAATATGTGAATCTCCTTTCTGGAAACCCTCCTCCATATTTAGCAACAAAAACAACTTCTTTTACGGTATTCAACAACAAAAATAATAATGTAACTGCTGTAAATGTCGACTGTACTTCAATACCTTGTATAGGGAGTGTCTCAAACTGAATCACGGTCTTGCCGGCGCAAGCGGAGCAGCGTGCGGCAGGCATGTGACGTCAGGCCAATGAAAGCGAGTTTATTTAATTTGAACGGAGCGCATAACTTCAAGAGTCTCTCTTGTCAAAGGAGTTTATTTTTTAGAAAAAAAGTTATTTAATTGGTATTATAATACTAAAACATTAATTTTTTACCACTTTTAGTGCAATTTTTTTTTAGTGAACAGACCTATCGTGGCCAATAAACTTATTTTGATTCCAAAAATATGTATAGTATGTCTCAAAATAAAATGTATATGATAAACAAACTGGTGTCACTCATGTGTGGTTACTACCCTAAGAGCAAAAGGTCCGGAATTCTGGAACTTAAAAAACGCTAAACACTTTTAGACGTTTAGCGCATATATCGCAAATCTTCGCTTAGCTTGAAGCACAGAATATCTAGCTACGCAACAGAAGCCTCGTTACATGTATAAAATTGTAGGTAGCAAAAGGAGACAGGCTTTTAAAGCCTGTTCCAAATCAGATATTTTGATGCGGTAGTTTCGCTACTACATAATAGAGGGCAATAAATTTAAAAGAAAACAGTTTTCTACAAACAAAATTTAAAAGAGTTTTGTGCAGTGTTGCCATTGTGTAATTCATATCGTAATACTTCCTGATAAAGCCTACCTTCAAATTTGCTACATCATTTAAACATATTAAAATAGATCAGAGCTGTTTTTTTCAATTTGTCATGTTAGTTGGAATTAAATCTTATGAGCTAAATTACAATCACTTCCTGACGTTTGATTGTATAATTGAATCCTGAATTTTCATTGTAATTCGGCGACAATATAATAAGTATTGTTCTACTATTATGATACCACTTCCTGACGTTCGATTGTGTTCATACCAAGTTCATATCGTATAATCAGGAAAAAACGGCGTTAGCGATGGCTATGACATGAATATCGCTGTCATTTTATATATAAATTTATATGGGAAATGTCATCGATCGTCCTTTTCCAGCCAACTAGACGCCGATTTTTACCGGTATCATACGGTATTTGATCATTTGTATATTATTTGTATATTATTTTTCATGACATTACAATCACAGAATCGTAGCTAGATATTCTGTGATTAAAATATTATGGTACCATCAAGCATATCAAGTGATACTATAATATAGTACCATATTACGATACATGGCGTTCGATTGGGCTTAAACTTGATATACTATATCTTCAGTGACATTGTAATATCATGGTACCATGGAGCATATAAAGTGGTACCTTCTATAGTACCATATTTGATAACATAGCAACATTAGGTACATGGCGGCAATAGGGCTTAAACTTGCTATACTACGTATCTTCAGTTACATTGTAATATGATGGTACTATGATGCATATAAAGTGGTACTTTAATATAGTACCATATTTCAATACTATTTCCTGGCGTTCGATTGATCTCATATTTGATATATACTTGCGTATTTTTGATGACATTGCATTATTATGGTACCATGAAGCATATCAACTGGTACCATAATATAGTACCATATTACGTACATGGCGTTCGATTGGGCTTAAACATGGGATACTACGTATTTTCGGTAACATTGTAATATGATGGTACTATGATGCATATAAAGTGGTACCTTAATATAGTACCATATTACGATACCATTTCCTGGCGTTCGATTGGGCTTAAATTTGGTATACTACGTATCTTCGGTTACATGGTAATGTGATTGTACTATGATGTATATAAAGTGGTACCGTAATATAGTACCATATTACGATACCATTTCATGGCGTTCGATTGTTTTTAAATTTGGTATACTACGGATCTTCGGTGACATTGCAATATTATGGTACCTTAAAGCATATCAAGTGGTACCATAATATAGTACACTATTATGATATCATTTCCTGGTGTTTGATTGGGCCCATATTTGGTATACTTGCGTTTCTTTATAAAGATTTGTTTAATTAATAATTTTAATTTATTTTACGAATTTTAATTTATTGTTCGATGTCGTGACAGCAACTTTTATGCCGAACTAATATATTATTAATTGTACCTGTGTCACTTTTTAAAATCTACCTAGGTCTATATAAATAACGTGGCAAACGAAAGAAATTTGTTATTATAGTATTTTTTAGTCAGTTAACATTTTTGTACTGCATTTTAATAAATTATTTCCATTATTATTAAACTTATATTTCATTACTAACGTTCCAGCATTAATAAATATCACTATCAATCGCCCTCAATATTATTAATTTTAAAGGTATTTTCTTAGTTAACATTATAAGGTAGTGTATATTAAAAATGTATATGTTTTATAATAATATACTTAAAACTATTTTAATAGCCAAAGGAATAATTAATATAAGTGTATCTGACAAGAAAAGAAGAATAGAAAGAAACACATACTGCATTATACACAGTAAAAAGAAAGGGCTGCCAATTCAAGTCTTTTTGAATCTGGCAACTGTGCATATTTAGCCGAGCTACAAGGCAGTCGACGAGCCGTCGATCCAAAACCGAAAGTTCAAAATTTCTAATTATATTCTGATTATGACATTGTCGCGCCATCTAGTATTCTATTTGTGCAATTTTAGCTCTTTCATTTCGAGTATTTTTCTGTTGTGTAGCTAGATATTCTGTGCTTGAAGTAAACGGCTACATTAAAAGGTCGTTTTGCTTATCAAACACATTGAACTAACTTAAAAATAGATACAACTGTCAGTGAAAATAGCAACAATTGTAATTTTGTGCGCTCTCTTGCTCTTTGGTGAAAAATACGGGTTCTTCGGTAAATTCCTGAATAAGTAGTAAGGGCTATAATTTTACCACTTGGCAGCTATAAATATTGTTCAAAACATCAAAAATGCTTAGGAGCATTTTTTGACAACATTTCCCTTGTATAATAAGAATAATGACATAACCATAAAAATACAGGTTAACATAACTTAATAGGTTATGACTTACCTGGAAACTTATATGGTGAAATTTTGATAAAATAATTTAGTACTTACTAAAAACACAGTATGTCGCTAGTGTTAGGAAAAATAATTTTTAGAGGTTACTAGTTTATTTGGTTGCCTGTGATATGCATATACAGGGTGTTTCCTAATTAATCTAAAAAATAATAAATCGTTAGAAAACGGCTTAAGGCGGGCTCTTAATAAATATATTTATTTTTTTACCGACAACCGTTTGATGAACAAGAAAAACTCAAAAGATCAATTTTGTTGAAAAAGGATGGCCAGTCAAGAAAAAAATATATATTTTTTAAAAAAGCACTGGTGTACCATTTATGTTAAGCAAAAAATCGATTTTTTAATTTTTAACACCCTGTAGATCAGAAAGGAAGTACTTTAGACCTAATGGTTATATAAAAATTGTTTTAAGAACACATGAGGAATCACACCACAATTTTTTTAGACTAATTAGAAAACACCCTGTATATTGTCAACTTGACAATGATTGCTGATAAATCAAAAAATACCTTTTCAGTGAAAAAAGCCCGATTTTCGCAGAAAAAATTTTGATTTTTATTGAATTTGGGACCGCGTCTGTAAATACCGGTATGTTTTTTAATTTTCTATCTATCTAAATTTTAAATATCATAGTCAGAAATAGTTTTATTATTTATTAACTGTAAAAATGGTATACTTATAAGTTTTAACAAATATTGTGATTTACTTTTTACCTTGTAGTCAAAATTTATTTTTAATAAACTGTAAAATATATAAATATATTCTTGTTTTATTAAAGTTACTCTGATATACTAATATATCAGTGTAACTTTAAAAATAAATCCTTTGAATTAAAATATAAACGTAAAAAATATTTACAGCAGAAAAGGCAAAGGCGCTGGGTTAAACGTAGTCTCTACTAAGCACACGGAGGGGCGCTTTGACCCAAAATTTTACTATTAAGTTTCATATCTATCTTAATAGAAGATTATTTTCTTTTATCTATGGTTATGACATTGACATAACATTTACATTTTTCTTTGTTTTATCCACATTTGATCAGCTACCTGAGAAATTGTAATGTACTCAACGCGTATCAAAAAAACGATTCGCACGGCAAAGAAAATACTAAAATCAACTGCTTAGCGTTCCGCTGAACGGCTATTTTCACTTATCACTTTAAAAGCGTAACATCTGTATGCATGTGAATTCGAGCCAAACCCGGTATATGATCCTAACCTGAACTAATATGTCCCGTCCAAAAATTATAAGGTGATGTTGGACTTTCTAAATCATGTTGTGACTCTTGTCGCGCTAAACTGCTAGCATTATTAGAAATTTCGGTGGCTGCACTTTTTCCTACTACCTTCTCAAGTTGCATTATCACTTCCCTCTTCAGTTGATGTAATTCGGCAAGACTTTTCATTTGATTACGTGATTGCTTGTTTTGCGGTAAATAGTTTTGATTTTTTGTACCCTAAAATAAATATGTGATAATGAATATACAGAATACAAAAATATAAACATTTGATAATGAATAACAGGGTGGGTTTTTTAAGAAGATCTCTATGGGTATCTTGGAAACTACTGGAGCTAAAGAGTCGGGCAAATGGGGAAATAATATAGGAGGACAAACATACGCACCTTTCAGATTTTTGAAAAAGGTTATGGCTTACTAGATATTTAAAAAAAAACAAATTTCGGCTATTTTAAAAAGGCTCCCTAATTCCATTATATTATAATCTATTTTAGCCAAAAGGATTTGAGTTAAAAGTTGTAAATATTCTCAATGAGTTTGTGTTCTCCGTTTTTTTTCTAAAGCCTATCATCTTTGACATACCGTGCTGGCAACTGTTACTTTTGGGTCGGCATTTACATGTGTGGAAGTAAATCGCATAGGGATCTTATTAAGTCGGAGTGAGAGAAATGCGACCGACCGACGCGACGCGCGACGTTGTGCTGTTGCGGCGTTGCCGATACGCCTTTCCCTATCAAGTAAAGTAAAATGACGATCGCAAACCGCTTATTTTTAAAAGACTTTTTTTTTAAAAGATAATTAGATAAAATCATTAGGTTTGTAATGTTTCTGAGCATCTGAAATGGAATTATGAGGATATCGTTAGGGTGTCATTTTTTTATAATGAGAAAACGTCAGTAATCGCGATAATTTAAAAACTCAACTTTTTAACACATAACAGGCCATAACTCAAGAACCACTTTAGATATTGAAACTTTTTTATTTTCAAGATCGGATATTTTACAATACGTTTACATAAGAAAAATTCGATAAGGTTGTTTTTTCCATTCAAAAAGTGTAAAAATCCATCCATTTACTTTTAGAGCATAGCAATTTTCAGCAATCGTGTAATTTTTTTATTGATAAAGATTTTCACATACTGTCTACAAAGAAAATACAGCAGAAATATTAACAAAGTTCTTGAAAAAACTACAATCTATTATTTCTAATAGATTTCGAGATATCGATTTTTGAATTCAGAGTTCTAATAGCGCGACCACTATCGAACACCCACTCAATTCCACTTATTTTTACCAAAAATGCAAGTGTTTCTAGCTTGCACTTAAAAAAATTCAAGCTATAGGAAAAATTACGACTCGTTAATAAATAAACAAATCAAGTATCACGAGACGTAATTAAATCGTGAAGCTGAACGCATGACGTACACCTTTCCCTAGAACTTTAAGTACTGACAGAGGTATTGATTGGGTCGACCGGTCAACTGCGACAAATCTGCTATATCCCCTTCCACGTCTATCAGCGATGTGCACAGTGTCTTGGTTTATTGCATACGTTTGGCAATGTGTTTACTGTCCTCTCTTTGTTCAGTACATTATAAACGCATTGTACTCTTCTTACATACGGAAATCTCGACCCAAGACTAACCGTTGCCAGCCCTTAGTATGACACAAACATATGTTTTTTTGAAATGGAAGCCATAGTTGACCATGACTTCTTAAAAAGGGCAATATTTTAAGCTTTCCAGCGATATAAGCTATGATATGTTTTTTCGAAAAATATAAATAGAGTTATAGCCGATTCTTATCCTTTTTAAACAATTTGTCGTAGTAAGCCGTGGAAACAAGTTCAATCGAGTTATAGCCAATTCTTATCTTTTTTTAAACAATTTCATTTAGTTAGCCACGGCAACAAATTCAATCATCGTTGCTCTCGGAGATGTCAAATTGTCACACCAAACAAAAATGGAGGCAACTAAATTGTAAATATGAATTTTTCAAATGAAGAAAAGCGTGTGCGATTATTTGTTCAACTCTTCTTAGACGATACATTTTCGAGGATACGTTGACCAGTGAACGTTACTTACGCTTTTTAGAGAACGGTTTGGTTTGATTTGGTAAGACATGTTTGAAAATTTAAATTTAGATACTTGCGCATTAATACATTACTTTCATTATGACGCTTCCCCTTATAAAAAAAGAAAACATAACATTGCATGGACCGCCTGGGTCAACTGACCTATCCGTTTAAGATTTTTTATGCGGTATGGTTAACAACAAAGTTTACTACTAAGAAAACTTATGAATCAAGAAAGGCACTCAAAACGGCGGTACGGGAAAAGTTTATTAAAGTCAACCGGATGTTCTGTGAGAAAAGCTTGTAATTCAGTTTTAAAAAGATGCATTTTATGTACTCAAAACAATAGCGGTTTTTTTTGAACATTTGTTAAAATAATACTAAAGTGTATGTAGTGATATTAGTTTTTTAAGTTTTAATTTGTTAATTGTTAATTGTTACGTCACACGTTAACGGGGGGGAGATGGTATCACCGTAATGTGACATAGTGAGACAAGTGGCAGAGGGGGGTCAAAAGTTTTATGACGTAATATGTTAAATTTTAATTTTAACATTAATACATGCATAAATTTGAAAACTGTGTGACAAATATGTGCATAAATTTGAAAACTGTCACATCAGGAGGAGGGGGTCTAAAAATGTGACAACCTGTGACAAGGACGAGAAGAGGGGTTCAAAAGTCCTAAAATTCGTGTGGCGTAATTTATGGATGGCCCCTAATTTGTAAATCATAACAGAATAAGAAGTGAAGTTAAACAAAAAAAAATAGGAATTTACTATAACTCAGTAATTTTTAGAAGAAAAAAATATAACTTATATCGCTGGAAAGCTTTAAAAATAGCGTTTTTTATTAAGTCATGGCCAACTATATTTTCCATTGAAAAACACATATGTTTGTGTCATACGTGAAGAATAACAATCCCTAAAAAAAGGCGGAAAACACAAGCTCATTTAGAATGTGATTATCTACAACTTTTATCTGACATATTCAGTAGTTTCCAAGATACCCATAGAGTACATCGTAGAAAACTCACCCTGTATTGTAGTAGAAATAAATAACATAATAGTTACTACAATAGACATAAGAATAAGTAACTAAATTATAATTACCATTTGTTCCCAACCAGGTCTCTTATTATTTTCAATATTTGAGTTGTCTTGAGTAGAAACAGTGTGAAATTCAGTCTGTGGCTTTGGATAAATTGGTCCATTATTTGTGAGCACCACATTGTGAGCTCCAGTAAAAACTTCCTGCGGATAAGATGGTTGCGCTCTATATATTGGTTGAGCAAACTGAGGATTCGGTGGATAGTGCGGATTATGAGGAAAGGAAATATCGTAACCAATATGGGGTATTTGAACGACTGTTTGAATAGGTACGGGACTAACTGTCGTTGCAGTTGGTATTGAATAATATTCTTCAGGTTGTGGAAATACCTTTTCAATAGGAGATTGGTTGTCCATCCGATGCTCTTTGTTCCTATTTAAACTTTTTCTATTTTTGGCTCGATATCTAAAAACATTTTTACAAAAATTTAATAAAATGACAAAATATTACTATACAAAATATAAATATATGGTATCTGGTGATGATAATATCATTAGTAAGAGTTGCCTAACATTTTATTTCAAAAGTCAGTTTTTAGGAACATTTTTTCTGTCATCTTGATAAATGATATCTGTATTATCTCTAAATCGTATATTCTTTTTCTAGATAGATTATAACAATTTCACGATACAATTATAAACGGTATTATCCATATCGTGACGTCTTCTGGATTACACTATGCATATACCGGGTGCGTCTCAAAAGTGGCTCACACCTATAACTTTTTTATTTGTTCAGATAAAACAACGAAATTTGGTATGTTAGTATAGGACATAAATTAGGATTGATTGATATATTCTATTGTTTTCGGTCACTTCCGGTTTTACCGGAAATGTCTACAACTTTTGATTTTTAAATGGCACCCTGGTATTTTTTACTTTATTCGATAGAAAATAACACTCTGAATAGAATGACATATCATATGTCAACTTTTGACATTTTCGCATATGGTTTATTTGAAATTATAATATGCGGTTCATAACGAAAATTTGACTCCAAATACCAAGTGTGTGGTACCAAATTATTCGTAAAAAAATACTTTTTTCAAAAAAAAATGCTAATAAGCCACCCTCGTTCCATTTGAAAAAATTGGGATATGATTAAAAATACGATTTGGGCATCTTTGAGCCGACCAGGACAAGACACTAAAAACATCAGACGATCAAATCTATTTTTCCAAGGCTCCTTGATTAAAAATTGGTGTTTTTAACACAGCCATGGCACTCTAGATTGAAATTTAAATTGCAATTTGTTTTTGAGCGAATATGTCAAAAGTTGACATATGATATGTCATTCGATTCAGAGTGTCATTTTCTATCAAATAAGTAAAAAAATACCGAGGGTGCCATTAAAAATCAAAAGTTGTAGTAATTTCCGGTGAAACAGGAAGTGACTAACATATACTAACATACCAAATCTCGTTTTTTGATCTGAAAAAATAAAAAAGTTATAGGGGGTGAACCATTTTTGAGACGCAACCGGTATAATATAATTCACGACGTAGCGAGCTCCTCCTCCTGTCTCATCTTTATTAGAAAATATAAAAGAAAGTAATTTAACCTACGCTAAATTAATTTATGCGTGCATGTGCATATATACAGGGTGGCGCACCTCATTCGCCTCGGTTGATTATACGAAAACGGAAAGATGTAGAAACAAAATATTTTATGGGTATATGTGGGGAGACAATGTGCACAATTTAAAATTATTTTGAAATATACAGGATGTTTCAGAACTAAGATCCATATCAAAGTTATATTTTTTCTTATGGAACACCCGGTATTTTATTTAATTTTTGGATTCTTGGGCCCAAAAAAAGGCATTTTTTATAAGGGTTAAATATGTTTAAAATCTTTAGTTTTTGAGATATTTAAAGATATTTAAATTTGCATGCTACAATAGAATAGATTATTAACACCCTGTACATTACTTTTCAGAATTAATTCTTGTGCTAAGTTTAAAGGTAGAGAAATAAACTTTACAGAACAATGGTATTGGTTCCTTAAATTTATACAGGGCTATCAAAAGTTGCTGATCTATTTTAAATATTTATTTTACATAAAAACTTCGTCATTTCCAATGCAACACTATGTATTTTTTTAAATAAGTCGAAGCAGATTTAAATGCTCTTTCTCTTTTAATTTGCTCATTAGGCAAATTTGTTTATCAGTAAACCTAACTGCTTACAAGTAGTCTCCGCTGGATTAACGCAGCAGTGTTTGGTTAGGTTGTGCACAAAAAATAACTATTTTATTTTGTAGATTTTCTTGCAGTGGCAAAATACCCATATAGGATTTTTTGGAGACATAAAATTTGGCGAAATAATTCCGGGAAAAGCCGAACCACTCCGAAATTATCAAAAGTTTCGGATCCAATCCATGTACATCCACTGCAAGAACAGCACCAAATAGTACCGTACGATCGAAAAAAAAACGTCAGCGATGGCTATGCAATGAAGATCGCCGTCATTCTATATGTAAAATTATATGGGAAATGTCATCGATAGTAATTTCCCAGCCAACTGGACGCAGTTTTTTTTCGATCATACGGTATTTACATTGTCCTTATGGGCACTTTCCAATGGGCTCTTTCACAAAAAATAAAATACCCAATTCAAGGACAAAATCTGAAATAGACTATTTTCAGTATATTTATCAAAAAAAAATAGTTCCATGACATGGAATAATTTTTTTATAGGCCCTCAAAATTGCTTTAATTTGAAATAATTTTAAAGTGTCAATTGATGACGTATGAAAAATACGCCCAATCACATTGCAGAACCGTTCTCGTGCGCCAGCCAACAACTGGCAACATTGCGATTTGATTTGACCAGCACCACCTCAACTCAAGGCCAATCAACATGATATGGGCAGCGCATTATTAAATTGTTTACCTTTAACATGAAAAGCCGGTAGTGGTTTCTCGTTCCGATTGCATACCAGAAATAATTAATTATCTCTAGTTTGTTGTGCTTCTGCAACACGTTTGTTTAGTTCTTAGTGTTCAGTGCATGGTGTGATCAGAAAATTGTGATAAAATAACAGTGTAATAAAAATCCAAACCAGACATTCCACATAGGGAACTTCAAACTTTTGTGCTTGTCGTACTCCTCTATTATTAATTATTTTAAAGTAAGAACAAGAAGTATTTATTAAGATATTACACCTAAATGAGTAAAAAGCCTTCGCCGCCAGTCTGCATAGTACTTTATAATGGTTACTTACAATAATAAAAAGATAGGTATTAAAGGGTAGGTATTAACATTTTATTGTAGCATACCTTTTACATGCTCTGTTTCAAATTGTCACGGGAATTATAGAGGGGGTCCCAAGGTTTCTGCTTTTATATTCCCCAAAAATGACGAGCTTCGTAAAAAATGGTTGACAGCTATTAAAAGAGATAATTTCACTCCTACTAGTAGCTCTCAGGTAAGAAGTGCCTCAAAAAGGCCAAAGGCCAAAGCCTCTGTTACCCTAGTGAGGATGTAGTTATGGCTACTGCTTACACTTACCTCCCTATAAGTAAAATATTGGAAGAAGAATCAAGCTTTTTACATCAAAAAGATCACAGAAAGTTATTGACAACATTGACATTTGAAAATATAAATGGCCTGGATATAAGTCTTTTTTTAGGTCACAATTGCCCCTCACAATATCCAATATTTTATTGAAGAACTATGCAAAAAAAGGAATGACGTCTTTACCACAAAGACAATGCCCTATGTAAAGAGAAAGAGTAAAGAAAACTAAGCTAAGCGTAGGTTTTACTTACGAACCCCCAAAAAGGCATTTCTTTTTTTTTTCTATATAAAATCTAGAAACACATTATATTTTTTATTTATCCTCACCTATTATAGTTTAAATTTATTCCCATTTGTGTAATGCTGCAAAAACCTAGAAAAAATATTCCATATTTTTTGACCCAAGCCAGTGTAGTTTATAATTCCAGGAGCATTTACCAAGGCTTTTACTAAGACAAGTAACTTCCTATACTGTCCATAATCGAATATATTTATCAAACGTTCAGTAAATTCTAAACTATGGTAGGTAAGTGTTTGCAATTGAATATTTAGTTTATATTGATATTTTCTGTCATATATTTCTGGTTATTTCTTTTTCCGATTATTTTGAACACCCTATATATGCTACCTTAAGTTTGAATATTTTAACACTACCTATTTTCTGAGAAAGCAAGCAGACCTTTTTATAAAAAGTAACTAACTGATGTTTTCATAAAAGTAATAATACAAAAAATTCCATACTTATGTGGAGAACTTTAGACTCCCTGTATCACAACCCGACATTTGTGTGAAAAATGTCTATTTGGAAAAACAGGTTTTAAAATACGCGCCAAATAGAGCACTTCTAACTCCGCCATATTGGAAAAGGTTGAATAGCCTTGTGTGAAGGTGGTGGTGGGTCAGCATGGTGGCCCGGCCGCGGCCATGTTGCCGCTTTTCAACATGCCAGGTGTGACGTATTAAAAATAAAGTGCGGTTTTTATTCTGGGCTTTTTTGTTTTTATTTATTTTCTTAAGAACGACTTCAAATTTTTCGAAAGTGAGATAGCAGAAAATTCTAGAATTATTGCTTTATTCAATTATGTTAATTCCAAAATATAGTGAAAGAGCCCATTTAAACTTGTTTCATTTATCTATGAGTGTTGCCAAGGTTACCGGTATGAGTGTTGGTAAATTAAGTTAGTCTTCTTATTAAAGTAGTGTGTGTTTTTCTAGAATTGTTAATAATGCACACTTTAGAGCGCTTGCACACACACCGGCAAAATCGGTGCCGGAGCCGGCGTCGGCTTCGCACACGCTCCGACGCGACAGTTGTATTTAATCCTATTGTATTTGCCGGACCACGACTATATTGCAATGAATTTCGGGACCGGCACCGACAACGATTTTGTCGGTATGTGTGAAAGCGCTCTGATATGTATATCGTAAAAAATGGTATTTTTTTGTGTAGAAAATTAAAATTGCTGTAAACGTATAAACACTAAATACAGAACAAAAAAATAAACGTATATGTGCACAACGTGAATAGTAGGGATGTTCGATCCTAAGATCTGTAACGAAAATATTTTCGTTACATTTTTCCTTTTATATCGTTTATACGTTTTTTTATATATTATCGATTTTTTGCGGAACCTCGATAGTGGTACACATCACTAGCGATGGTTGTTAGTTTAAATTGTTTAAATTGTTTAAATATTTTATATATTTTCTGGTTGCCTATGGGTTTCCAATAATAATTTGTTTATTTTTAATGAAAACGAAGGTTTATTATTAATATTTTGTTTAGTGTTAAATAATTAAGATGCAATTGTTACACACATTTTTTTGAAGGTATGTAGGAAATTTTATCGTATGTATTATTTTTACTATTAATTATAAATTTTTTATATTGACATTTGGTACTTAACGGATGTCTAAATGAATGGGAGAATTCTATAAAGGGACTTGTTTTGCCGAAAATCACTCTCTCTCATCTCGATCTTCTTTGCTTAAACCCCTAATTTTTTTTCCAGACACCGGCACGATGTACGACTTGGAAATTATTTATTAGTTTTTTTTTAAACATTTCTTACTATCTAATATGATTTAATTATTTGATTTAATTATTTAATTAGCTTGTAACTTTAAATTCCTTTTTCTATTTTATCTTTTTATCTCACAGTTCATTTTTTTTATCATCATTTCTTTATCTTCTTATCTTAGTAGCACGTGTATGGTAGTTTTGTAAAAAAAAATTCTAATACCTTTAACTTTTATTTAGTACTAATTATTTTTATCTTTCTTATTTATATACTGAGACGCAATCTGTCGAACAGGAACCCGCAGAGGTGTTCGATTTAGCAATCTCAGGGGCCATGAATAGAATCAATCACTGCAGAAGTACTCTCAGAGACGAACCAGGAGGGACTCTGGTAAGTAAGGATTTTTTATAATATTTATATTATACGATTTATGTCACCTTTAACGAATCCTTGCTTGCCAGAAGACAACTCTCTTATCTGGACCCTGTAGTGGTGGTATCTATTGGCAGGCTATTCGACAGATAGATTTTTGTTTTTTGTTGTTTTTGGGTCACTCTAGGGAACGTATCTTTACCTCGTATCTGCCAAATTTACCTTACCTTATCTTTATCTTATTTGGCGGATGCATTATCTTTGTTCCTGGAGTGACATATCTTTTCTTTTAGTTTTTATCTGTCGAATTGCCGCATTTATCGTTTTTCGTATCTTATCCTATCTTTCTATTTACCTTTATCTTTCTATCTAGTTTATTAATTTATCTGTTAATATCGCATTTTAGTATTAACTTTTGTTCTAATTTAAATTTCCATATATTTCTAGTTTTTTTATCTTACATATTTTTTTATTCTTTTTACACGTGTCTACAAATTAAATCAAATAATTTACTGTAACAATATATATTTTTTTTTCAAGTCGTACCGAAGTGATTGTGGTGGTCTGGAATTTTCTAGAGAGAGAGAGCAAAATATTTTTCTTTTATTTTTTTTTATAATTCTACTTTTATATTCTTTATATTCTTTAAATAATTTGGACAATCTTTCAATTATAACTAATTTAAACTGTCATTGCCTATTTTCTTTTTTAAATTTTAATTATAATTTTTACTATAATAATTAGTAGTTGGATTTAGATATTGATTATTGTTTATTTGAATCACTAATATGTTGTTTAATCATAAGTTATTTTTATTGTACCTTCATTGGCAACCAACAGACAGTTCAATTGGTAATTTAGAACACCACCACAAAACTGGGTACTTATCAATTGTGTTGAGTAGAATACTGCTGTTTGTTATCTTCTAGGAAGATACGAGAATTGACCCTCCCCATAAGTAGCTCACGCACTGAGACTGGTGGAGTCTCACAAGCTCTCCAACGTTAGCCGGACAATCACGCTACCCACCAGCGGACGAGTGCAGCGAAGAGGGTGAGGCCTTTCTCCCAACCAACCGAAGCAGAAACACTTAAGTATTCCAGTTGCATATCTAATCTCATATAATCGAGACTGTCACAGCCAATTACATTGATTGTTTATAATTGTTAATTAAATATAAGTCATTAATGAAATTTTCTATTGTCTTATTTAATTCCAAAGCATACTTCCACAAACCAGTAACTTTTAGAATTTTGTGGGTTATAGATCTCAGTACTCAGTACCGGTATCCGGTATCACGAAGTACCGGTCCTACAACCAACCGGTATACCGGTTTCAAGAATTAGATAGGTGGGACCGATACTGAATCGGTATACCGGTTGGACCCGAAGATCGGAAGACCGGATGGACCGAAAGACCAGTTGGACCGGAAGACTGGATGAATCGGAATATGGGAAAGACCAAAATAACAGTTTTGGTTGTTGTGCCAGTACCTCATAATACCGTATTAAAAAATGTAAATAGAAAGTTTTTGTGCCTGTAACGTTAAGTAAGTACGGTAACGTGCCAGTGAGTACCTCATGATACCGTATTAAAAAATGTAAATAGAAAGTTTTCGTGCCTGTAACGTTAAGTAAATACGGTAACGTGCCAGTGAGTACCTCATGATACCGTATTAAAAAATGTAAATAGAAAGTTTTCGTGCCTGTAACGTTAAGTAAATACGGTAACGTGCCAGTGAGTACCTCATGATACCGTATTAAAAAATGTAAATAGAAAGTTTTCGTGCCTGTAACGTTAAGTAAATACGGTAACGTGCCAGTGAGTACCCCATGATACCGTATTAAACAATGTAAATAGAAAGTTTTCGTGCCTGTAACGTATAAATACGATATTTTGCGGGATAAATTAAGATATTTCTCCGAATACATCGTAAATCTATCTGTTACCGTTATAACGTTATTGATTTTTTTCGATCATACAGTACCTAGAGTAGGAGAAAACAATCAGCTTTGCACAAAAACCGGTACCGAAATCGTTTTATACAGGTTTTTTTAATTTTTATATTATCATGAATCTATTTTTCTGTATCGATTGAAACCGATCTTTCAGGACCGATTTAACTATACCTTCCATATCAGCTCCCTTCCGGTTCCCGTCCGTTTACATAAAATATTATATTATGTAAATGAATAGGATAATGCACACTCTCCGTTCCGTTTCCCTTCCGTTCCATATACTTTCCTTCCATACATTTTTTGGCGGACGGACTGAAGCGTATCCGAAACAGCGTTGTTAAGTTCTTACATTTGTACCAGCTCTGTTAAAATTTTGCTGATATTTATATATTCTTTCACCTCTTAATTAAATTTATTACCTTTTTCAATAAATACAATTTTTTAAAATAAAACTTTCGTAATGATATAAATTGTACAATAATAAGTATGGAACTGATACGGAACGGAAGCTTACGTATAGCGTCAAAACAATAAAAAATATGGAACGGATATGGAATGGAAATGGAAGGTATAGTGAGAATCAACCTTTGAACCGGTCTTCCGGTACCGGTACCAAAATAGGTCTTCCGGTACCGGTACCAAAACCGGTATAGCGGTCTTGAAAAAGACGATAGCGATAACGGAATATTTCAAAAATACCTGTCCTGGTACCGGTATACCGGAAGACCGAACATGCCTACGTGAATAACTTGGAAGGTGAAAACATGGCAAGGCAATTGCACAATAAATTTCAAGAAATAAATTAAAAAATAATCCCAGTTAAAATACTTGCACTTAAGATAAATTGACTACGAGTCTCATCGACATCGGCACTGATCACCAACAAATTGTGTCGATGCTATAAAGATAACCGGTAAACGACGAGATACGACATCCATAATTGGAAGATAAACGCAAAAAATACTGCAAAACATATCTTAATTTTCAAGAGAATACAATATATTCAATTGACAATATGAATTTGGTCAAAAATGTCAAATATAGTATCTGATCAAACTATGTTAATGTTCAGGGATACTCGAACAATTAAAATTGAACAGATTTATTAAAAGTTAATTTAACTGGTCATTAAAATTATTTTATCAGCAAATATCCATATTTTTGGATTATAATACTTTCAAAGAACAATGACGTAACGAAAGTGATAAAATAGAAAATGTTCTACCATAAAACATGATAAATTACTTACTTTTCCAGCTCTTCATTTGAATGGGCAAATGTACAATTAGTTCCTCTTGGACAACTACCCCTGAGAGTTAAATCGCGACACATACTGATCTTATATTTTGTGTGCTGTGAATGGGACGCATCTTGAACTTTTCTGCTTCCATGTTGTTGAATAAATTGGACCAAGCCAGCTACTACTTGTTTTACAGCTTCTAAACACTGAGTGCACTCTTCCCAGAAAGGCGTAGACGATTCTAAATATACAGAGTATAATTATAATAATAGTCTTCCGGCTAAATAATTATTATAGTCTCCCGTATACAGCGTTTGCACGTCTTGGGAGTAGCAAGGTATAGCTTACTATACTGGAGCCGTTAGGTATAGAAGAAAGGTAATGTGGCTAGAACTACGCATCAACCGCCTATTATTACCTTGTGATTGTGAATCTCATGTACTCATTTATGTCTTAGTCGACCTTTAGAAACGAGTTTTATTTCATTAAAAATTCAAATTCAAATTAATTTATTGGTGTTGCCATACAATAGTATTTACAAGGGCTGGAAAAAATCATGATTTTAAAAAAAGAATCAAAAAAATAAGATTTTTTTCAGTTAAATCGGAATTTTTTTATTTAAATCAGATTTTTTTGATTTTAATTCAAAACAATATTTAAATCGGATTTCCAAATGACTAGGACTTATTTCCAATTAAAGTCTTATCCTAAATGGCTTAATCTTTATAACTCTGAGCAATACCGATAACATTAACAATTCTATGGCGCGTGTAATTTTTCTACATCGGTCACCAATATATTCCGCTAAAAAAATTCGCTCCCTTCAGATCAAAAGGATTTTTTTCAAACGTCTCAAAAGTATTAATTTTTGTCATTTTAACGGTTAGGCATAAAAGTAAAGCACTGTTACGCCTAAGCACAAATGTGCAAAAATATATTATTAAACTGATATTGGGTGTCAAATTCAACGAGTGTACAAATCGTTTCTCGATTACTGTTTGTATTAGTTGCAATGTTTGAAATTGATTAAAAAATTATTTGTAATGTTTTAAAAAATGGTGTTTTATTCGAAGTAAAAATGTACTTTTTGTGCCTCCTTGTAACGTCAGAATAGCTTTACGATGGTCCTCAAAATGTACAGCATTGTCAAAAAAGTATAATTTCTACTCATAATAAAACAATACACTATTGTTCGGGAATAGTCTTAAGTCGAGAATGAAATTAGTATTATCCTTGATTATGTATTACTCTTGTTTATATATTCTTAAAGTTGTTCAACCGGCTAGACAAAATGTGCTGCCAGCTGGAGGACAAATCGTGAACCTTTCGGGGCGGAGTCAAAAATATCTATTAATTTCGTTATTTTCCTCAGAGTAATGTAATAATATAGCCGGGTTTCTGCATCTTTAATAGTGATCAGCTGATTAGGACATTTAAACGAAACTTTTATTTTATTATAGATTGTGGATTATTTTTGCCTGTTATTTTCAAAATTCTAAACCGTATTAACAAAGAAATTATTATTTCGATATGTTGGTACATTTTTTATAACTTATGATAATGCCAATTACTGTTAATTAATATTTAAAAAAAGTTACATACCTACTTTAATGTGATTTAATGCAGGTTTATAAAAGAATCATTTCATTCTTAGATTATTTTATTCTAAATTGAGTGTTTTACGAATTTGACGATATTTTTTTTAAAACGTAAACTTTTTACATTCTTCATTAAATGTTCAAAAAATTGCAACTTGCTTCAATATTATTTGACATTAAAATAAATATATTGTACTTAATACACCATCTAAATCTTTATTACACCAATTAAATCTTTATTAATGTAAAATATGGCCAGAGTTTTAAAATCAAGTTTGCTTTAACTTTGTATGTGTGATGAAATAAAAACTAAAAATGTCATTATTTTAACTCACACACAAATCCCGTTAAACCATAAAACTTTCTAAAAGCAGGATACATGTCTAACTGAAATAATTCAAGTACATTTTCATTAAAAAAAATGTATTAGGAAAATAATTTAATTAGATAATGAAAGATTTATTTTTTATTCTGTTTCATATGGTCTTCGGTATTTTCAATACAAAGGGTGTTTTCTACGATGTTCTCTATGGGTTTCTCGAAAACTACTGGAGATAGAGAGTCGGTTAAATGGGGAAAGAATTGCAGTTTTGTGGGGTCATAAATATGCGCCTTTCAGATTTTTGAAAAAGTTCATGGATTACTAGATATTTCGAAAAAAAAACTTTGGCTATTTTAAAAATTGTCCCTAATTCCATTATAGTCTATTTTAATCAAAAAGTTTTCAGATAAAAGTTGTAGATAATCACATCCTTAATGCGATTGCGTCCTCTGTTTTTTCTAAAGCTTGTCATTTTTGACATATGAGACAAACATATGTTTTTTTAAATGGAAACCATAGTTGGCCATGACATCATAAAAAGCACCATTTTTTAAGCTTTTTTGTGATATAAGCTATAATGTTTTTTTTTTCGAAAAATTATTGAGTTATAGTATAGTCAATTCTTATCATTTTAAAACAATTTCACTTAGTTAGCCATGGAAACAAGTTCAATCGTCGTTGCCTTCAGAAATGCAAAACTGTCCAATCCAAACTTTGTAAATTAAAATAAACAAAAATTGTAAATATGAAATTTTTAAATGAAGAAAAACGTGTAGGATTATTGGTTCAACTTCTTCTCAGAAATCAGAAAACACAAACTCATTAGGTATGTGATTATCTACAACTTTTATCTGAAATTTTTTTGTCTAAAATAGATTATAATGGAATTAGGGACAAGTTTTAAAATAGCCAAAATTTGTTTTTTTTTCCGAAATAACTAGTAAGCGATAAATTTTTTCAAAAATCCGAAAGGCGCATATTCATGACTCCACAAAACTGCAATTCTTTCCCCATTAACCGACTCTCTATCTCCAATAGTTTCCGAGATACCCATAGAGAACATCGTAGGAATCTCACCCTGTATAGTATTTTGAAACTAACTATTCTTATTATTTGACTAGTTTAATTTGATTAATAAATAAATAAATAAATAAATGCCTTTATTGTCAAAAAATTTTTCAATTTGTGGACAAAGGTAAACTAACAAACAAAGTAAAAAATAACAAGGTACACAAACAAACAAACAAAAGATAATACAAAACATTATACAAATAATATTGTCAGTCTTATTGTTAAAATAAACATATATAAATGTTTACAATGTCAAAGAACAAAAAAAATCAAAATAATATTCAAAAATATTTAGCCAGTTTATAGCAAAATATCAATGACCTCTAAATAAATTAATTTCGATGTCATTAGTAAATATAGCAATAGCAAACATTAGACCAGTGTTTTCAAGATCAAATTCGATTTTCAATTCAAATATAATTCATTTACTTCGTAGAAAGCCTTGTCTAGTAAATAAGAGTTCAATGCTTTGCGAAATGAAAAAAATGATGTTATGGATTTGATTTCAAATGGCAGGTGATTGTGCATTTTTTTCGAGTTGTATAATATTGAACTTTTAACTAACTCTGAGCGTGGGGTAGGTAGATAAAGATCTTGCTCCGCGTTCCTGAGTGGATAAGTGTGAGATGACCTTCCTTGAGAAGCTGATACATGTTTACCTATTAGGAAAATGGATTCAAATATAAATAAGGAAGGAAGAGTCAATATTTTTAATTTTTTAAAAAAGTTCTGCTGTTTAGTCCCAGTGAATATAGAACAGCTCTCTTCTGGAGCCTGAAAATGCGGTCAAATTGAGTCGCACAACACGTACCCCAGAATGGAAGGGCATACCTGAGGTGCGACTCAAAAAGTGCATAATAAACAGTTCTAGCCACTGACAAGTTAAGCTCCTTAGAAACAGTACCTTAATGCAAAACAGGCAGAGCTCAATTTTTTGACAAAGCTTCGATATGTATGTCCCATTTCAGAGAATTGTCCACAACAAGCCCCAAGAACTTTACAGATTTGACGACGTCAATGGTGGTGTTGTTAAGTACAAAAGGCTGCAACGAGTTTTTATACGACAAAGCTTTAGTTTTAGAAATGTTGAGAGTCAGGAGGTTCGAATCGCACCAAGATTTAATGGTGATTAAGTCATTTGATATAATCCTATGAATGCCGTGATGTCCTTGTTGCTCCAAGTGAAGCTAGTGTCGTCCGCAAAAAGACATATTTTGCCACTGATGTTTATGTTAGCAATGTCGTTAATAAAAAGAAGAAACAAAACAGGGCCTAGTACTGAGCCTTGTGGTACTCCACATTCTATTGGCTTTCTAGAAGACAACGTGGTATCCACCCTCACAAGTTGACTTCTGTTGCTCAGATACGACTTAAACTATCCGAGAGATGATCCCCTGAACCCATAGTGCTGCAGTTTATTAATTAAGATCTTATGATTAACAATCGAACGCCTTAGAAAAATCACAGAAAATTGTTGCTGTAGAATGATGGTTGTTTAGGCTGGAGTAAACTTTATTAAGGAGGGAAAACATAGCGTCATTTGTGGACTTGTTGCTTAGAAATCCAAATTGATATTCAGTAAGTATTTCGTACTTAAACAGAAAAGATACCAGCCTTCTTTTAACCAACCTTTCTATGATCTTAGATAGCGTTGGAAGGAGTGCAATTGGGCGATAGTTAGAAGCTTCATCTTTGTCTCCTCCTTTGTGCAGAGGAATGATTATTGCCGTCTTAAGACATTTTGGAAAAACACCATTTTGGAACGACATGTTTATTAAAGTTGTTAGGTGATTCAGAGTGCTTTCTGGCAGATTCGAAAACATTTTTAAAGTTAGCCCGTCGGTCCCAGAAGAGGATTTATTTTTGATGGTATTAATTGTACTCCGAAGCTCTTCAAGAACTACGGGCGAAAAAAAGAAACTGTGTAAGTTTCATTATCATTAGAGAGATAAGAAAGTGGATCATGAGGAGGACATATGGTATTAGTTAAGTTTTTCGCTACATTTACAAAGTAATCGTTAAGGTTCTCAGGTGAGGTAGAGATATTGCTAGACGAAGAAGCTTTGTTTCTCAATTCATTCACAATAGACCATGTTTTCTTAGCAACATTACCAGAATTGACTATTCTCCTATTATAATAAAGGTCCTTAGCGGCTCTTATAGTCTTATGATAAATTTTTCTGTATAGTTTTACGTAATTGTGGAAGAGACTGTCTGAGAATATTTTTAAGTGATATAATGAACGTATGT